ACCACCCCTAGAGACCAAAGTGAAGAAATTACAGAGCAGATCAGTAGTCACATTTACCACCTTCTGAAAAGTTCCTCTTGGAAATGGACTGGGAACGCCCCCTGAATTCCACAGTGAAAATGATACCTGTTCTTTCATTGATAACTGGTTGATAACATTGATAACTGGAAGGCTAAATACAGCTTAAATTGTGAAAAACCCTTCTGTACAGTATTAAAACAAAACATTAGAACAAATTCCTATCTTGGTAATTCTTAAACCCAGGACTCACTTTACCTGAATAAAAATGCAGGGATGCATGCATGTATACACATTTTAACACATTTAATTTAAACTGATAGCATACGTCTGTATTTGTAAAGGTTTTCAAATAATACACCACACGACACACTCTCCAGTATTTATACAACACAGAAATAACAATAACGAGGCTTCACCTGTTACTACTGGTGGGCTGGAAAAGGTAGGCATTAAAGGCGTCTGCGGGGTGCGACCAGCGTGACCTCTTGTGATGTCATAGCTGGCACCCATGCTGAAGCCTGATGTGGGCGGAGCCTGGGGAGGAGCAGAGATCACTGGCCCAGGTGGAGGAGCGGTGCTAAGGGGAGGGGCAGGGCCAGCGGGGTAGGCAGCCAAAGGGCTACTGTAGGGGGCTGTGCCAGGGGGTGGAAGGGGAGAGGCTGACGTCATTGGGCCAAAAGAGGGAGGTAAAGAGGACCTGATGGGAGGGGCAGAGGCAGGGGGTGTAGAAAATCCTTGGGGTGGATAGGAGGAGATTCCAGTTGTGCTGGGGAGCGTCAAAGAACTGGACATGCCTGCAAAATAAATACACATACATATTATTCCTTTTCTTTCAGAAATGTAAATTATTAGCTATTAAAAACTTCTGACCTTTGAACATACAGACTCACACCTTTTAATGGTGCTTAACTGCCTATGCAATATTTGCTTTCATGTTGTAATCCAAACTCAAATTTGTGTTTGCCCAGCTTTGCCGACCATCTGCGGAAAGCTACACCTGCTGAAATGTTTACTTTAAAATGTACCCAGAGCCTAGGGCTGGGCGATAATTCGATAACGATAATTATCGCGATATAATTTTCCTCAATATAATTTAAACAAAAGTTCGATAAATGTTCGATATATATGTTTGTGCTGCATGCGCACAAAATACTGCGCGAGTGCGCGCGCGTGTTGCAGACCGGGCAGCTAACGTGGTGCTGTTTACCCACACAGTGGTGGCTGACAGGACTGTAGTTAGAGTGGAGAAATGAGCGACACTGAAGCAAATGTAGTGCTGCCAACGACCAGTTCGAAGGACGATGACATCGTCGACAGAAAAGGTCATTCAACTGCGGTAATTTGGAGATATTTTGGCTTTTTATGATCAGACATAAAACAGAGCAGCGTGCACTGCAAACTGTGCCGCAGATCCGTGCCAGCAAAGACAGGCAACGCCACGAACCTATTTCACCATTTAAAACAACATCACCCGTTAGAACACGCAGAAAGTAAAAAAATTACAGTCACAAACTAGTGTTGTTAGTGGAAGGGGACCATCTATAAGCACCAGGCCAGTATTCAGTGCACTACACAGCAGCAAACTATGGTAGCATCATTTTCGAGCACCGTGCCTTACGACAAAAAAACGAAAAGACATGAAGACATCACAAATGCAGTTGCATATTGTATTGCAAAAGACATTAGCACTGTCGAAAATGAGGGATTCAAGAAGCTTATGAGAGTCCTTCACCCCAGATACGAGCTACCTGATCGGAAACATTTTCCTCGGCTGTATGCAGAGTGTAGGGAGACCGCTGCAAACGGTGCCATTCTTCGCTACTACTTCTGATATGATCCTTTAAAGCACTTTAAACTTTGCAGTCTGTCTGAGCCATCTTCTATGTGTGTTTTATCACACTGCAGTATTTAATTTTTCTATTAAGATATTTATTTTGTAAATTTTACTCTTGCATATTTTGACATAAAAAAAGACTTGAATACTCTCTACCTCAGATTTGTTTAATGTTACTGCTGTTTGGCAAGTGTTTGTTGTGTTCTTAAAATAAAGAGTTGTTTAATTTACCAATTAACTGTCTGGTTTCTTCAACTTTCACTCAGGAGAAAAAATCTGCCTTTAAACTTGAAAGAAATAATGATTTGACATTTATCGTGATAATTATCGATATCGACGGATATGAACTTTTTTATCGTGACAATGTTTTTGGCCATATCGCCCAGCCTTACCAGAGAGACATAAATTATACATGTGATGCCAGTCACATGTGGACAGGACTGAAGGATCCTAAGTCATGGATTTTCAACTACCCCAAAAATATCACAAAATCTCACCATTTCAAATATTTGACCCCATGGCATTAACTGCAACAATACTGTTAACAGAATTTTGACAAGAATCAGTACAAAACACAAAATCTCAGAGATAACCAGAATGTAACAGGAAGAAAACAAAGAGTACAGCTGCACATAGATTACAAAGTACAGAGAGACCAATTTGCAAAAAAAAAAGGGCCCTGTCTGCAAAAACACAATATGATATTGTTACGGCTTTAGGTGACAAGGAAGTGTCTCTTAGAGTTTAGGTAAACTCTGTGATACCTGGCACTTCTAGCTTCAAAGCAGAGAGGATGTTTGCTGGGATGTGGGGGTCCTTTGAGCAAAAACAATTGTAAAGTTGGTATACCTAGGTGAGTTGTGGGTTAATGATTGTCAATGAATAGTACAGAAACATATCCATATAAGATCACATGAAGAACAACAAGGGAGGAGTAGGACAAAAAGGTGAAGAGGACAAGAACAGAGAGAAGAAGGAGCTGGAACTTGAAACTTGCGCCAGCCAAGAGCCCCTACTTCATGATCATCCCCACAAAACCTGATTGGAGCTAAGTATTTTAACCTTGCTAGAGAGAGCTTGCTATTCTGTTTTTAGGTAACTTGGGTTTCTTAGGTGAAAGATACCTTGGTAAGAGACATCTTTCCTGCTTAGGGTGCATTTTTAGAATAGGGAGATAGACTCCAATTTATTTTGGAGAGAGAGAGATTTAATTGCAGGTTGTGTTGCATGTATTTAGAAAGGTAGCTTACAGGTATCTCTTATTTGGCCTCAGTAGGCATTAAGAGTTTAATACTTAGTAGAAGTCTGGGGGGTTTTGTACACCATTTTTGTACATTCTGTAAATATAGTAACCTATGCGCTGTATGTTTCGTTGTGTGTAGTGTAGTGTTTGTATTGTCATCATTAATAAATATTTGTTTAATCAAATATGTCTGAATTATTACTCTTTTCACCAAAGATTTGCCAGAGAACAGAGTTCATGTGCCTCTAATTCTACCAACCACTCAGGTACATTCTGGAGAAATCACTTACAAGTTGCGGGTTATGAATATTTGTTTTACTTATTGACTAAACCACTTGGTCAATTCCTGATTTTCACCATTTTCATAACCTCCCCATTTGTAACAATATTTCCCTGGAATGCACTGCACATTGAGGTACTTTAAAAACAGATAAGTGCTCATTGGTAAACATGTCCCACAGTTAAAACATGCTTTTAAATACATAAGATAAACAGAGGGAAGAGTAAGGAAATTGACCTCTACAAGGTAGGAGGAATTCAGATCTGGATAAGTTAGATTCTCCAACTACTATATCTTGCAACTTGACAACCTGCAGCAAGAATCATTTTAAAACCAAAACACTGTGGGACTGATTATTTCCTGCATAAAACTTGTCATTGACTCCCAGCAAAGTTTTCTTTGCAGTGAACAGGTACAATAAATTGAAACGTGATGCTTCAGGTATGCATTGAAATAACAGTCCACTAACAGGGCCAAAATCTTCTAAGACTTCTCTTTGAAAACCCTTTCATTTCTATCACTTTGTACAGAATGGTGGATGGTCTTTTGTCCCACCTAGTGACAGGGCTGGAGGAGCAGGACCCACAACAGCAGTAGAGGGTGGTGGGGGGGTGGCAGGTGGCGTCGTCTCTATTCCACTCTCTTCCATCATCTTCCTCACTCAAACCACTGCAATCCGAAAACAAGATATACCTAAATTATACAGCTATTTGCATTTTACACATGGAAAAATGCTGCCAGCCATCTGAAGCTTGCTAGTATTTTAAATAATCCCAGCAAATTCATAAGTCACCCACATTAAAGAGGAGCAAAATATTCCGAAAGCATAACTTACTGGGCTGTCGTTTGCATTTCTTCCATAGATTAAAGGTGGCACACAGCCATTTTCTCTGAGTGAAAGCACTTCTTTCTTTTCTCATTTAAAGTTCATGGACAGCGCAAGTACAAATAATGGAAACAAGACTTTTTTTTTTTTTGCTGGCACAGGTTTAATTCCAGATTCGCTATAAATGGGAGATTCATGTACAAGGTTTATGGCTAGCAATACCTATTAAACCTCACGCTCAGTTTTTCTTTCTACCACTGACACCCTCATTTTTTTCCAGGTCAGATAATACAGCAAACCGTTTTATCTGTTTTAATTCAACTCAGTAAAAAATTCTAAAAAAAAAAAAACAAATTACAACGTCATATCCCATATCTCAATATCTAATATTTCCATCTCAAACTATTAAGGTAAAAGCAGGGGGGGCTCATTTTTTTCACCAATATTCCACACATTAAAAAAAGTTGACATTCTGCAATTGTCTTGAGACAAATCAGACAGCCTACATTAATTACACTCTCTTCACCGTAGTGCTGAAATCAGCCTACACCTCTGCATAAGGCCTCAAAATTTCTCAAAATTATTTCTTGCTTGCACAACGCGTATATTAACTACTGTACCACTCACACAAGTGCGCTTGCACACGAGTACGTAGAAGCCGGGTTTTCAACTCCTGGACAGGCCGATGTACGGCTGCTGCCACGTCTCCAGTGCTGCCGAAACACACCAAACCGGCGAAGTGCTTCACAGCCTATGTTGTCGATTTCAACTTGGTCAGACATGGCGATCATTTTAAAACCACTATTGTAAGATTTCCAATACATTACTAACCTATACTTTCACTGAGTGTTACAACTTTTTTGAGTCTTAAGAAACACGGACCATTGCATTATAAATGCTCGGTACAGCTACATGAACACAACTAGTCCTAACACAAACCACCCAACACCACTGCACTGTCATGCTGCAATCAGACTGTAAATCGCTGTAAAGTAAATGTTAAAAAAGCTGGCGAATGTCATGCCTCACGATCAGAATGATCATAATATCCAAACCTCGCTCAATATACATCCACCAAAACCGGTGTGACATTGCATGTCATAAGGAATCTTACCTGGTTTCTCACAGCCTCTTATAAAAAAAAAAACTGCAGTGTAAAATACCTCCTCAGAGTTTGAAGCCAACCTGTATTAAGTGGGAAACGAAGGGAACCCCTTCAAGACACCCAAACAAAACTCTATTCTGCTCCTTTCCAAAATGGCCGCGTCTCAACGACGTCACGAAATGCCACGTCTGCCGTGCGTGGAGTGGGCAGTCTCCTGCTCGTGTAAATAAACCAGAGCTGCACACAAGTTGTAAAGCAAGAAAACGGAATCACAGAGTTGTGGTTTGTGTATTTTAGCTACTGTGCCATATTCAAAGGTTATGCATTTTCGTTTTCGCCCCTGTTTAATATTTTCAATAATGTTCTTTCGAAATACGTGACTACTACGATAGCCATGCCCTATGAACATTTTTGATTGACAGCAAAAGTACAATATTAAGCATCTCTGGGTGAAATCCATAGGGTCAGTTCCCTCCCTGCAGAAATTCTGTAGAATTCTAGATTGTCATACGTGCACAACAAGTCTTCAGTATTTTTGAATAAATACCACTTTTAAACCGACAGTATAAAGGACTATGTACAAAAAGTGGCAAAAAGTTCTACTTATTTGTCAGTTCCCTATAATAGCTTTTCAACCTTGCCCATGAGTCTCTGATTAAAGACTCACTGTATGAATGGGACTACTTCTGCTGAATCAGTGTAATGTCAATAGTTCTTCCCAGGGGAGACTGAGATACAAAAGCTCATAGGATAATGTACATGTAAAAATTGAGAAACAGTCCTGCAGAGCCCTTTAAAATTAATACAAATGTATGATAAATTAAGTAAAACTAATGAGCAATGCAACCACTGGAGCATTGACAGGTCAGTGTCTCTTGCTCAGTGATCAGATAAAAGATAGCACATGTATGATACCCCTACTAAGTTATACAGTTTGAATCTTCACATGTAGACTTGACTCTCAGGTGAGACACTGCTGTTGGACCTTTGAGTAATGTGCATCGTTCCATGTGCTGAGGTTCTGTAAATTCCCCACTGTATGAACAGGTATATAAGTTTAAGAGATACTGTATTGCAGTGATTAATGTGACCACAGGTCTGATTTTTGTTCTTTTATTGGAAAGATTTTGCACATAAACTACAGTTAAAATAAATGAAGAAATTGTTTGTGTAGGACTGGTAGTACAAGGAAAATTGCATTGTCTTTGTTTTTTCTTTGGAAATAATTATGTGCAATCTCTGTTTTTCCTTTTATTTACTGAAAAAAAAACAAAAAAGCAAAATAATCAAAGCATTGATTAAAACAAATATAGATACATTATCCAGATTGAAAAACTGAAAGCAATCAAACTGTTTTTACAAAGGAAAGAAAGGTTACTCTTGCAAACTTCAAGGCGTTCATCTCTGCATTTCTAACTGCACACCCAAACAGAACCAAATGTAGTTTCCCTCTATCCTCTTTACCAAAGTACAGTTTGAACTCCAATTTTTCTGCAATTTTTTAAACATAGTTTCAAATGGAAATAGAATGAAGAGCATCTTTATTGCTATTTTTTTATCTCAACTACCATATAAGAAAGTAACAAAAAATCACCTTTTGAATTAAATGATCTGAAATGGCTGCAAAATCTCAAAGAGCCTTTACACCATTGACACAATAGGATTACCAGACACTAACATAGGTAGTGTGTCCAGTATATCAGAAGAGTCTCACTTCTGCAGCCTGTTTAAACTTATTAATATCAGTGTGGTTTGACCATTGCCTAGACATGCACTTGAGATTGAATGTGGGATTGAAAAGGACACTTTTAAAAAAATGGACAGATATCACTAAAGGTGGTGACCTGACAATCACACTTTAATTGCTAAAGGAGCTCGATCTCCTATTTTATTTTCTGTACAGTATCTTCAGTACTGCACCAGTGCCTGATGAATAGTCATGTTATTATTTTTTTACATACCGACTGCCTACCTATATTTATTTTATGCACTAGAATTGTGCCAACTGTATAGTGACAGTGACAGTGACGTCAACAGAAGTGCAGAATTACAGTACATATCAAGGCTGGATAACCATATAGAACCAGTGACATTGTTGCAGTGGCTACAAATATGCAGTTGAATATTGAATATATTTAATTATTAAATTGTATAAGATGTTTGCTAGATCCATAATGCCCCATATATCGGTCAGATACATTGTAGTCTTTTTAAAGCATTCATCCTTTATGACCATACAAGAAAGTAATAAAATATACAATATCCTTAGACTTTAAATTTCACATGGAACGTTTATGTTTCAGATTTTCAGAAAATGCTTTTCACAGTACTGGAGATTTGCCTCTTACGGAAATCAGAGTGTGCACTCAAAAGAAGGAAAAAGCGGTGAATCACGTTTTGCAGTGTGGCAAGTTGTCCCAAGGAAGAAGTGTAATACCCGCGGAACTGCCATGAGGGCGCCACAAATACAAATACAGTAGGGCTTCAAAGACGTTTGTAAAATAATGTACTGTTGCTCCATATGATGTGTAATTGAATATGTAATAATTGAATATAACTGATAATTATACTTGAATAATAGCCCATAATATGTACTTTCACATGTGGCCAATTATTTATCAGTGTATATTTATTGCATAGTTAGTTTTTGTGGGTATAATATATACTGTATATATATTAATTTAGGGGGTTACTGGGAGTCTGGGGAAATTGGATGGTCAGGCAGGAGTCACTTTACCAAAAGCAAATTCCACAGCAAATAACATATTATTGACAAGTCCGAACAACCTTTAACTGTCTGTCAAATTTTAAAAAAGTGTTCAAAGGTTGTCAGTTCCCTAAATGCATGTCTTGGCAGCAATCAGCATATGGCACTGATTAATATAACATACAAGGAAACGAGGTTTTCTGTACAGTTTACAAATTGTCAAAAAGCATCACTTCAGAAATAGTTGTAAAGTGATTTACAGCTATGTACATCATTTTTATACAACAAATTTATAAAATCTGGCTCAGTAGATCTTAAGACTAACTGCGTCTATGTATACTTCTGAAAGACACACAGTATAAATGAAAATGCTGTGGTGAGCTCTACTGATGAAAACCAAAAGCACAACAAAGCACATTCCTGCATATTTATTAAAGTGAGATTATAGCAAAAGTGTAGCATGTGAATACAAGTGTTTTTTTCTCATTTACTTTCCATTGCAATGCAAAAGACCAGCTTAAGCATAATTTATCATCTAAATTGGAATTACTAAAAATACTTACAGTATATAACGAAAAGTATCCTGGATCTGTTCTGCGGGAAGGTCTTTAATCCTGCTAGCAGGATGTCTACTATTATGATGTGATGGCAATAGCAGTGTTGCAGAAGTGCTATTGATAAGATAGAACAAATCAGCTAAAGTCTCTTTAGGGCACCTAATCCTGCACATACTTTTGCTATATGTCTCCCACTAAATGGGATTAAACAATGAGTAAAATAAAATCTGTACTAATCGAAAGCATAAAATCAATGTTTGTACAGTACTAATTATAGCTATCCTTCAATTAATAAAACCCATACTGGTATTCAACCTTACAGCTGCAGTGTAATCCAGACTAATTTACTTACTGTCTAGTAGTATATGTTCATGCCATCATTATAAAAATAAATTCAAATCTATTTTACATTAGCATTCTATAGGCATAAGGTTGATATGTGTTATTAGTGACTGGAATGATTTCAAGGTTCAACATGATTTGAAGTATCTAAAATAGGAAGCACAAAAAAATCCTAAATGATGCAAAAAATCCAAATATCTACTGTACCTTGCAAAAAGATTCGACCCCCATCCAATGATGACCTATTGAGTTAGATTGCAAGTGATCATATATATTTTTTCAAAGTGAATATTTTTCATCATAACATGAACGCTGAATCCCTTTATGGGTGTAGGAAGTTAACTGTCAGCAAAAATGTCAAAGAAAAATCAAAAGTTAAAATGTAAATTGCATAAGTATTCATCCTATTTATTTTGAAGGCAAAACTAAATTAGTTCTGGTGTCCAAAATTACTTTAACATTGTACAATTAGTTGAATGACCCTTGAGTGCAATAAACATGGTTCATATTTCAGAATAAATGCATCTGTTTCTATAAGGATCCTTAGTTAGGTTGTGAATGCCAGTTGAAGATTCAACCATAAAAAAAAAAAATTCAAACAACCCAGGGGTAAGGCTGTAGCAAGTCACAGGTAAGGAGGATATAATAGTTTAAAAGACACTGAATATCCTGTGAGCACAATGAAGCCAATCATTAAATGTGTACCAGACACTGCCTAAAAACTGTCCCTCCAAACAGTGCAGCCAGACAAGGAGGAAACTAATTAGGGATGCCACTCAGAGGACAATGGTGTCTTTGAAAGTGCAGAGTTCAATGCCTGAGATGGGAGAAAATGTCCATTATTTGACAATATCATGGTCAGCTGACCAAGCTGGTCTGTATGAGAGTGGCAAACCCCATCTCAAGTTCCCCACATAGTTTACAACTTGTAGTATTTAATTTACATGTACTGCAAGTGTGTGACAAATGGTTATGATCAGATGAGACTAAACTGGAACGCTTTGGTTTAAATAGAAAGTGCTACAGTATATGTGCAGTATGTGAGGTGAAAACCCAACAGAGCATCATCATGTCAACACCATCCCTCCTATCAGGCAAGGTAGTGACGGTATATTAAGGGGCTGCTTCTCATCAGTAAGGACTGGGAAAACTGATGGATCAAAGTACAGGTAAATTTTAGAGGAAAATCTGGTTTAGTCTTCTAAAGACATTTAAAGGTGAATTTCTGTTCCAATCTAATCAGGACAACTGCCCAAAGCACTTGGCCAAATCTACACAGGAATGGCTTAACCAGAGGAAAATGAATGTGGTTGAGTAGTCCTGATGTCCTAACAAAGTGAATAGAAAATAGTGGGCAAGACTTTTTTTGTCCATAAACAATACCCAACCAACTTGGCAGAATCTTGAGGAAGTTTGCAAAGAATGGGCATTCATTTTACCATTGCAGTGTGCAATGCTGGTAGAGACTTATCCAAAAAGTCTTGCTTCTGTAATTGGTGTACAAAGTATTGTATTTCATCCAAACATTGACTAAAGATGATGAACACTTATGCAATTAGCCTATTTTAGTTCTTGATTTTTATATGCAGTTTTTCCTCACAATTAATTTATTTTACTTATGGAAGTCCACCGTTCAAGTATTCAAGATTTGTTTTAAAATATTCATTAATCAAAAAATATGTATACATAATTCAACAAAATCATTGGATGGGGGTGAATACTTTTGCAAGGTATTATACATTGACACTACTAGAAGATACCATATTTCTGTACAGATGTTTGTTCTTTTATTATTGTTTGACAATAATTGTATGACATAATTCAGAAGCAGAAGAGTGATTTTGGAAATAAAAGGTTTAAAGGGGTGGAATCCTTTTGAATTGTGTCTTGGAGACTAAAATAAAAAAATAGATTTTAAAGAATAACTGTGTCTTGGAGACAAGATATCATTGATTTCTTTTCAAAAAAGCAAAATGGAGAATAATTATAGTGATAAGAATAAACTAAAATATTCACCTTAATAAAAAATAATAATAACAGTGAAACTCAACAGAAAAGATACGCTGCCAGCAAGCAGGCAATGCAGGAAGGCCAGTGAATCACAGTGCTTCCTCAACAAACCCACTGAACCTGTGGATCTCTGTGCCTGTACAATTGTCCATGAGCACCGGTTCTAACAGGCTCATTCGCTGAGCTCTTTGTGAGGGGAAGGAGGGCTGTCTCGTTGTGGGAGCAGGTCATAGTGGCAGGGAATGTGGCTGTTCTTTGGAAGGTCATATGGGTCTTGACTGAAAGGCCCATTGTTGTTGTTCCCTGGTCCATGGACAACACTGACAGTTGGCTCTGAGAACAAAAAAGACACATTTTTAGACATGTATTCCTTTTTATTCGGTAAACGACAATCCAAACTTAACAAAGACGTATTATTAAACAAATTAAATCTATCTACATTTGGAGACAGAAGTTTTGGAACTCCCAAAATGAAAATCATTGACTTCCACCTTTAGTTTGGTTAGTAAAATTTATTAGTCTGTATTGACCACCCCTGAAGAAGGCCTCACTGTCAGTAAGTAGTGTTTTTCTTCCTTCTTTTTATCTCTTGGCATGGAATCCATCTCTAATGTATTGATTAATTATATATTTTTAACGTTAATTAGAACTGAAGAACTGTTAACTAACCATGAAGAGAACTAAGTCATTTAAATTATATTTTCTCATTATTGTGATTTCTACAACATACGGTGGCACACCTGTGGTGAAGTGCTGTAGTACTGATCAAGTAGTGTAGGTGAGTCTTGGGGAAACAGCCATAAGGCAATAAAAACAAACATTGCTCTTACTCTACAGTGAGGGAAACAAACACAAAACAAAACCTTAGCTCTTCTTTGAGCCTTAACTACACTTTTTTATCATCTCTAAAAAGACAACTGAACTGCTCAATTGTTCACCAATGTGCAAAAGAACAAACAACAAATTCTCTGATTTCAAAGTACCAAAAAAATCAAAACAAAAATCCAAAGGCTCATGAGTTAGTTGCTTTATTGCATATATTGCTCCTGTTTTTTGGATTTTAACTGTCCCCCGACAACTGTCTTTCACCAGTTAGTCAGGTGACTAAGGATGGCAATCATTCCCTACTGTTTCCTGAAATTATTGACCTCTTACAATACAAACATCTCTACTTTGGAATTCAGGATGAAATATTTTGGCCAATAGTTTTACAAAGCCAAGGCTGTCTTACTGGACACATTTTGGGGGTAAACAATGTTTTTTTCATTAACTTGTTGATGTTTTTAAACACAGAGTGTCTCTTATACAAAACAGATGCTTTAAATGTGAAATCCTAACATTATTTTAAGGATCACACTATACTGTAAATCAAGACTTACCAACTTCGTAGACATTCTTGTTCGTAGAAGCAGAGTTTGCAATTTCTGCATAAGGCGGGTCTCTGCGAGCAGGAGACTTCATCTCCACATAGCCACATTCCGTGTTCTTTGGCATCAGCAGGGGGGGGTCCTTTATTGTAGCATAGGGGTTTTCTGAGCTGTTCAGAGAGCAGGAGCTTGAATGATACACTGAGCCCTTCACGAGATCTAAGAGGAAGTCAAGACAAAATAAAAGGTCAGAAAGCTCAGGGGGCAGAGATGGGCTTCTTCTCTCAACAGATTTGACAGCATTCAGTAACCTTCAAAATTCATATCCTCACAATGAATGGAAAAAATAGAAATTGTCTCAAATCAACAAGCATTTCACCTCTTATGGTTCATTTTAACAGAAAAACAAAGTTTTAAAACTGTTCAACTATACATTCAGGACATTTTTTACACAGAAGTATAGGTATCTAATTCATTTTTTAGAAGTCTTGCTACAAAAAATACTTTGTCTTCAAACAGATCTTACTTTTTAATTTAAATGAAAGCTAAGAAAAATACACCTATAAGAATATGGTTTCATAATTGTTTGGATTCATATTCATATAAACACAGAATTCAGACAAAGCATTAATAGAGCAAAACAAAACTTTATATTACAAATTCATGACTATGACCAAAGCACATGTTCCAAGTCTTTGTGGAATCCACACATTTACACTAGATTATTTTTGAAAAATGATTCAAATGTGTTATTCATTGACATATATCACAAACTGTATATGTGATATACAGTTGAAAATAAAATAAGTTATTGCTTTGCTGGACTAGCACGATTTATTTATTGATTGAGATAATTTAATCTCGCAATCCAAAAACATTCTTTCAGTTCTATTCAAATTCACTGGACTGAACTATTTTGTTGAGCACTGTGGTTATACAGTTTTATCTTCTCACATGATTGGCTAATACTATATTTATTTAAAAAAAGTTCTCACCTTTAAGAGATTTCCCCATGTAACCCCTATCAACTCCAAAAGCACCTATAAAAGTTATAAAACAAAACAAATTATGTATGATTTATGATAAACTGACATTAAATCTCTAAACAGCAGAAATGCTTAAGGTAAACATGTAAGTAACATGCATTATTGAAATGTACTGTAGCTACTGCACATGCTTTGAAATTAATGCTTACAGAATTAGGTAATATGAGGCTATTGAAGTGAACTAATTTACTAGACCCTGTAGAAGGAAGATTACTTAAAAGGGTTTTTGATCGTGGTATTGGAAGGCCAGCATGCCTGCATGGTTTTTAGGAATCTTTATTGCACCAGTCCATTTCAGGGGAGACAGACTCAAACAGAGACGTGCACAAACTCACAACATTTTGTTTTCCAGAAGCCAATTAACCTACCAGTATGTGTTTGTACTGTGGGGGAAACCACAGGACCTGGAGGAAGGCCTCACAAACATGGGGAGAACATACAAACTCCACACAGATAGCAACCCAGGGTCCCAAATCTATGAGGAAGCAATGCCAACCACTGTGCCACTGTACCACCCTGAACCAAACATCACAGCACAAAAAAGACTAAGTCAAGTCTTTCCGTGAATGAACATACATGTGATATGGTACATCTTTATTTCACTACAAATAAAATAGTCCTCACCTAGCTCATTAAAACAGCCGCCTTGCTTCCAGTCTGCAGGCAAGGTTCCAGTGTAGTCCATCAATGGAGGTCTCTTCCTGTGATCCACGTTTTTCAGATTTACAAACAATTGATTATTCTTTGGTTGCTGTTGGCAGAACATAAACCAATCATAGAGGTTAAGATAAAAGCCAAATGTTGTATTCCATAATTTATTTCAGACCATGGGATTGCCATGGAAATTGACCTACTTTTCCCAGTGTTGTCCTTTCCATATTGTTGACATGTGGTGGACTGGTGCACTGGGTCAGTGTGTGGTAACTGGGATTAGAGAAGTAATTGCTGTTTGGATGACCACCATTGGCTTGTGGAAGAGTTTCTGAAAGCACATAAAGAAGTAAATCAAATTAGGAGAGATTGACCAAAGTCAGCATCACAATTCAATCAACATACTGTACTGTACCATGGGAAGTCGTTTGAGTCTGTTTTAAGCCATCAATAAAAAACTTTCTTAAGCTCCTAAAATGAAACTAAAATTTAAAACTTAAAATAAACATAACTAAGCTAATGTTCTAAATTACTACTATAAAATTATAGTAGAAAAGACTAAAAGAGTTGTCTAGACACCCATATTTCTGCCTATTTTGCTTCTCTTTTGTCAAGCATTTCATTTAAGTGATGAAGCAAGCATAGTTTTCAGTTGTATTTTTTAGGTACTACAATCACTTACACTGTATATGACTACTGTTATCTGACCCACAGCACATGCTCTGTTTCTTGTTATATTATATCCAAAGCAGTAAACTTTCAAAGTATTCCAAGATATAGACACATCGTCCTGATATTACAAATTGCCTGTTTGACCTGAAATGAGTAGGTTACTTACTGGGTACAATATGAACATGCCAGTGAGGCCAACACTAGTGCTAGCTGCCATACCTGTGATGGTGTAGTCTGTGTTCATTGCCCTCATGGCTGGAGTGTATGTGACGGCAGGCATGGCCGTCTCCTTGCCCTTCTGCTTCTTCCTGTAGATGATGAACAGCGCCAGGAGGAAGAGGATGATGAGGACCAGCACGACGATGCCAGCAATGGCACCAATCTGGTAGGAGTCAGAAGAGACAGCTGTGCTGGTGCGGCTCAGACTGTTCAGATTTCCCACTATGATCACGCCAGCTGTGGGGAAGGAAGTCAAGGCAGAGGACACAATGTAAATACCATCAGGACAGTCCCATACTGTCATAGAAGAATAGAAATTTTTACATATAAATGTATAATTAGGCTTTTTTATCCCATATTTTTCTATACAGTATATATAACAAATAAAATCTATGAATGTACAGTATACGGTATGATACAACATAGTGTTTATTCATTACAATTTAGATTGCACAACTTTTGTGACTAAACAAAGTTTCTGAATTTCATAACTATTTCAAAACGTACAGTATATGCAGCACAGTCTCAGACTACGACTAGTTCTGTAGTTTGATTTTATAGGTTTGGCAGGTGTTTTGAAAATAAATGTTATTAAAAAGATGTAGCAATAAAAGTGCAATCCCATCACTAAAATAGTTTGTATGATTTTGTGAATTTGTATATAGCAAAAACAGCATGTATTGACTGGAGCATTAATTTCATCCTACACCATCATTCTTCTTACACCAATCAGATTTTCTTTGGCAGCTCAGTTCTGCACAAACTGCTCTCCTGTCATCACTGGACAATGCGTCAGCTATCAGGAAGCTTATATTTTAACTTTACTCATAAATTAAAAAAACACATTCACTCCTTCTGTAACCAAAGTTAACTTTCTCTGGCAGTCCAATTATTGTTGTGCAAGATGATGTTGAGAAGTTTCAACATGATAAGACCTGCAACACACCCAACAATTATTTGCACAAGATCTTCTGATTGTTCTGTCACTAATTTTGCCTAATTTCAGTTTCATTAACAGGAATTGCCTTTTCTCTGGCCAATTGAAAGAGGTTGCAAATGTGTTAAACATAAAAGCTTCTCTCTAATCTTGCTGTAGTAATCTGGTATATTTACCCGCTACTAGAGGCCAGTATATGGATTGTAATTACTTGTACAGTAAGTAGTCACACCAGAGGTGACTGACTTAATTATTGGTTAACAGGTAAAGGATTTAAAAATACACATGATCACATACTGTAGATGTACTGCAATTACACTTTTTGTTTGCTATATAAGGTTGTGTTCTGGGCTAACTACGGTATTATTGTTTCTTTAGTGTGTCCTGAAAAGGCCTGCAATAAAGCCTATTGAACTTTACTTCTTAACCATATGTTTGTTTATGTACAGATCCCTCGAGATGTTGTTTGATTGCAGGGTCTGTCACACTGACATTCAACAAGCTTGTATACCAAATTTATAGTATTAAGTGAAGGGTTAGAGGAACCATTTGTAATTTCATATATAAAAATATATCATCCTCCAATTTATCTGCAGACTACATATTTAATTTAGGTGACACAATGTCTGGAATATCACACCTTGGTCACATCTTGCTCCCTTCCAACCTGGGCTGCAGTAGCAGGTTCCTGTGATGTGGTCACAGGTAGAGTTGTTCAGGCAGTCACACACCTGCCTACAACCGTAGCCATAGGTCCCAGGGGGGCATTCTGTTAGAAATAGGAATCAAGGTATAAAGAACATAGGCAATATTGTTATGTTTACTCAGTGAAATATTCCCATAGACGTTTGCCCAGCAATAAGAAAACTGTGGATTGGCCAAGACCTGCTTCCACCAACACTCTGTTACTGCACTCTCAACATGATCTCCTGGCTTCAAGCGTTGAAAGAAACAACCTTGATTCAAACCAATAACATCCAGTCAAACAGAATCATTCCATAGGGAATGTTTAATCATTTAGCTTCCTTTAAGCACTGCATTGTGGCTTCTTTCTATCCATCCATTTTCCAATTGCTTTATCCAATACGAAGTTGTGGAGGATACTAATCAAGCATACAACTGATGAAAGGCAGGATACGCCCTGGATGGGACACCAGTACACAAGCATGCACAAAACCACACCAGGGCCAATTTTTCCCAGAAGCCAATTAACCTACCAGTACAGTGTGTCTTTGGACTGTGGGGGGAAACCCACATGAACACAGGGAGAACAAACAGCACAAACTTCACACAGCTAGCACTCTGGGAATTGAAAACAAGTCCCCAGCGCTGCAAGGCAGAAATACTAACCGCTATGCACCAGTGCCACCCTTGTGGCTTTTATTTTTATTTTATTTCTGTATTTTTTTAATATCTCTTTCATATTCTTAACTCGATGGAAAGCTTGGCCTCCTGTTTGTAATATATGAACAGAAGGAAAACCAAAGAAGACTTGTAAATAATGAACTTTAACCACATACTGCTAGACTTTGATAGCTATGATCTCCTCTGTACTCACTTTGTTCACAGTGCTTGCCCATGAACCCAGTGCGGCAGGTGCACTGTCCTGATATGTGATCACAGTCTGCTCCGTTCTGGCACTGACATACCAGAGAACATTCCTTCCCATAGTAACCCAGGGGGCAGCCTAAGAGACATGTCGTTACATTTATTTCTTTAAACAGACACTATAATTAAACATATACTTTAATTAGCAATCATGTTTAACCTGCAAAATACCATAGCCTAGAAAATCATCAAATAGTCAAACAATCATTAAAAATAGCCATTACCACCTTTTTCAAAGGGAATTGCATTACAATAGATTGTTCTGAATCAGATTTTATATAAAAGAAGAAACACACATAGTATTGATGGTATTATACCGGATTACTTTTATGGAAAGAAAAATTACTTTTGGGGCAAATTTTAACATTTAACTTTAATTTTCAAAGCATAGCCTAGTATCTTATTATTTACCAAATTAACCAAATAAAAAATACATTTCACTGTTAATTTTTTAAAGGGCACTGTACAAAGCTCTGAATCATTCCTGCTTGGGACTTGGGACTTAGTCCCAAGTGTCTGTATGCTAAATCACACAGGAAATGAAATACAAACAGTACATTGGAACGCAACCTCTAACTCTCCTGTCTAGTCTGTGTTTTATGTCAATCACTGAGTTATTGTACTCACACTGTTTGCTGATTAAAAAACATCAAAAGCTAAAAATGAACAATACAGTAGGTTTCAATTCGGATGGAGTTTCTGAAAATATACTGGAGTGAAAGCCAAGGTTGTAGGCAAGAATTTCATGTGAACTCACGCTGTGTGCAGTAGAGGCCAGTCCAGCCAGGTGTACACTTGCATTCTCCATCATAGGCACTGCAGAAAGCTCCATTATGGCAGTTGCAAGTGTGAATACAGTTTGGCCCCCACTGTCCAGGTGGACAGGCTATAAAAACAATGGACAACCTATTTAAAAAACTTGGATAATCTTCAACACTAAACTTAAACCAATTACATCAATTATAATGCAATTTGACATTATATGAAATCAGAGATGTTTACGTAAAGTAGTAATTTTCATGGGAGATTTCAAATTCCTTCACACGGCTTAGGAAAAACCAATTGAAATTACAGCAGCAAAAACTGAAAAGACAGACATGGGTAATGACTGAATTCGTACTCAATTTGTCAAAGCACCTAATAGAGGTAAAGTCTTTGTCAATCAAGGAACTGAACATTTTTAATCTTGAACAGAGAAGAGTATGAGGGGACCAGATTAAAGTGTCCAAAATCCTTAAAGGGATTGACTAAATCAACTTGAAACACACAATGAAACACACCTGAGGACACATGTTGAAACTATGTGGAAGTGCATTTTAAACTTTAAGGAGGAGTCACTTTTTCTACACAAAGGACTACAGAGTAAGTTCCCTCACATTTAAAAATGTTGCTATGTTCTTAATAACTGTCATATCAGTCCACATTGGTAAATGTTAGTTACATGACAATGCAGTTCACAAATATTACTGTTCCTTGATATTTTATCCATAAAAAAATATTTTCAATCCTTTCTGGTGTACAGGAAATTATAAAAATAAACATTACAAAAGCCTTGCAAACATGTTAATAAATTTCCAGGCGAAACTATATTCTTTGTTCCACTGTGACTCATTCTAAAGGACACTCAATACAAAAATAAGAAGACTACCTAAAGTACCAGCAGATGGCAGACAAACACCAATTATGATCAGACTAATTCTCAAAACACTGGCTTTAAATATTAAGAAGTTTTGTGTCCAATATTAAAAATAAAAATACTAAAATACATTCAGAAAATTGAAATATTCTCCAACAAATGGTGAAGAATGGACACTTAGACGAACCTAAGAGTTTCACCACTCCTTCAAGCTTACTGGGCATCAGGTACTGTACAAATCCCTTTTCCACTGGCTCAAAATTATATTCTGTATTTGGAGTTTTGCAATATAGTGTGATAAGAAGCATTCAGTTTGACAAAGCTTTTCTGAAGATCTACAAATTGAACTTCGGTGACTCATCTGACAGTACAGTAATAAACCAGATTTGAATTGAGTATATATGAGGAAAATTCAACTAAATTCTGCTTTTGAGGTGGCATTGATAAGCATTGTTGCTTCACAGCACTGCGGCCCTAGATTCAATTCTTGGGATGTTATTTTCATGGAGTTTGTATTATCTACTTTCTAACTTGCTAGAATGTAGATTAAATTTAATTGCCAATCACATTCTTTTTTTGTCCATTCAGTAGAACGTTGTTTTGCACAAAATTGTAATTTTTAAGGATCCTAACTGTATGTAGCCATTCAGAGACATGTTACACTCAGATGTGGGCATACGGTATTAGTTTCCCTATAGGGATCTTCCTATAGTTATTGTAGGCGTACACAAACTAAGTGCAGATAGTATTAAGACTTACGTTGAGAGCAGTCACTGCCAATCCACCCCGGGTAACACTGACAGGACCCATCAATGGGGTTACAGGTCCCGTTGTTGGTGCAGGTGCAAATTTCTGCACACTTCTTTCCATATCTACCACTGGGACATACTGCAAAAAACATGAACAATTGTGCTTCAAAAATATCTGTGAAAACAATCATTGTAGTCAGATTTCAAGTGCACATATCGGCTTCCGAACACACTTCTTATTTCAATAGCCAATATGTACACATGAAATATGCCCCCAAGCTATTTGATAACATGTTGCTATTTATCAAATAGCAAATGCTTTGCCCCATCATTTCTATTTCAGAATAAAACAATTCAATGCCTAAGGTAAAATGCAGTAATCTAACCTTCATTGCAGAGGGCTCCTTTGAACCCGGACAAGCAGTCACACTGTCCAGTCATGTGGTGGCAGGGTCCATTGCTGTGCACGCATTGTGGGCAGATTTGGCTACAGCGATGCCCAAAGAAGCCTGGTGAACAAACTGTAAGAACAAATGCGAGATTCAAATGCAAGCTCAAATGTGCAGGTAAATACTCAGACTTTAACATATTCTTTAGAATATTTACAAATATCCTAAAGTGTACTAAGTCCTGCATAAAAATAATGGCCTTAAGCACAGAACATAAGAATGTTAAGAAAGGTTAGAAATGGGAGAAAGTCATTCAGTTTAATTAGCCCATTTAGTAGTAGTTTATTTATCTAAGAAAGTCATCCAGCCATTTATTGAAAGAAACGAGAATATTTACTCCACTAGCTTGGCTCGTTATTTTGTTCTGTATGCCCACAACCTTTTGGGTAGAGAAGTGTCTCCTGTTGTCAGTTTTTAAATGCCCTTAATTTAAAAAATAAAAAAATGACAGTGCAATTTGACGGATGTTTTCTATAGGGATTTCTATGCCTGACATTGATAGTACAGTGCTATCAATCATGTGTTTAGGAACATGATCCAATAGAGAGCGAGAGAAAAAAAAAGTATAAACGTCATGGGTTAAATGTCTTTGGTAATAAAATGCTGCACTTGATGTTGTTTCATGTCACCTGCTGTGATCCACTCAGACACACCTCGCTTTAAAGAGACACAGAGATATGAGACACTCACTCGTCTGGCACGTGGTTCCTCTGTATCCTGGTGCACACTCACACGTGCCTTCATCAGGGGAGCAGGATGCTCCATTTTTACAATTGCAGGTGAGAGAACAGTTTGGCCCCCAGCGTCCCTCCGCACACACACTGTCACAGTGAATTCCTGTGAATTATTGATGTAAATTATGTTACACATTGAGAGAGTTGAAGCAATCACCCAGCTAAACGAACCCCTTTATTGCACAAAATGACAAGTACTGTAGTAAGAGCATAATGATGTGTTGCATTTGTTTTAAATGCTATAATTCATTACTGTTTCACTCTCCAGGCTTCACTGTTGTCAGATGCTGATAGTGGATAAGTCACTCACAGATCTTGATATTAATATTCTGATCTAGAATGTCTGACAGTCTATGTCAGTTTGTTTTTATGTCTATTGTGACATAAATTATGTTTTCACATGAATGTCTTAAATCTGAATGCCATTACAAAGCACACAATTGGACATTAATATAAATAGCTATATTAAAAATATTTCATAGACTTCAAATGTCAGCAGAGCTTTTCATCTGTTTGCCCTTTTCACAGAAATCAATCACTGAGACATAAATGCGGAGTAGAAAGTTGTGCTGGTTCACTATTGAGATTTTGTCAGCCATATCCACTTCACTACTCTCAATTTTATTCCAGGATTATTTTATTTTGTTATCTCATAATATGTAAGCCCTAGGCTTTCCTCTGTCTTAGAGTACATTCTGAATACATTCACTGCAGTCAGCGGCCACCAGTCCAAATTTAATCAAAAGTAAATAAATTAAACTTCAAAAAAAGAAGAAATAATATTCATGCAAATTTATGCTGAAGATTTGATACCATCTCTCCTTGGGGTTTTAACAGTTTTGTCCTTTTGGGAAGTTTACTACAAGCTGTATGATGCACAGTACATTGCACATTTTGTAAGGAGAGGAATTTTACAATATTCCAGAATATCCATTGTATACTCAAATATGAGTTAAACGTGCTATATTAAAATCATTCTAAGAATTATAATAAAATTTGACTATAAACATTATTAGATTAGATTCTTAAAAGGAAACTTATTTGTCCTTCAATGAGGAAAGAATCCGCCAAAATAAACAGTCCTGAAACTTCATTAGACTTTTACACACTTAAGATGTTAAAAAAGTACAGCTTACAGACTTGGCACTCTAAAACAGTCACTTCACAGCAAACAACATTTCTTCTAAACTCTAACCACTAAATGTCTCTCTTTCAAAAAAGAAATGCCAATAAACATCCATTTCAGAGCTTGGAATGTATTGTCTCTGCATTTTACCACTAAATGATTAATGTTGGCTGTGACTGAAAATCAGGACAAGTGCAAAATGAAATGGAACTGTTTAGAATGCTCATTAGTTTGGCTTATTTTAAGAAAAGAGGAGGAGCTTTGTCAACCACACAAGTGGCAAATGTCTCAGACGTATCAGCTGTAATTCAATAAAATCTTTTTTCACTCTATGAAAAATTGGTAGTTTCTTTTTCTCAGCTGTTTGGTGTTTTCATGCTGATAAGGAGCACTGTGATGGAGTGCTTTGCCAAGATCTCAGACAAAGAGCTCTTTGATGGGTTCTGCAAGTTGCTAGGCAATGGCTCAATGGTCATGATAAACTCCAGTTAAGCAGCTCTGAAGAAATGCCTATGCATTTAAAGTCCAGCACATTATGCAAGGAGGCCTAGTACCCTAAGTCACAATCAGCATTTGAACCAAAAATGGAAATAGGATAAAAAATTACACATGATTTGCTTGTTTGTTAGGCTTTTGTTCAAATTACACATAATTTTATGACCATTCAAAAAAGTGTTTCAGTCTTTTGACCATTAAACTATCATCAAATTAAAATTTAACTGGATTTTGAGGGCTATCCATTCATGTATTCATAGAATTTTGCAATGTTTTATACTTTTGTGTGTAGAAATTAGATTTATATAATTAGGTTCCCTTCTGAGATAACTAAAAGTTGATTTGTGATTCTTACTACAACATATGGTTTGAAACAAAGCCTGTATGAGTATTACTGAATTTCCTTTAATAACGTCATTAAGTGAAAAAAAAATATTATTTTTCTTGGAAGGAAGAAAATCATGTTTGTACACCGATGTCAAATGCTTCTAATCAGTTACAGTGGGGAAAAGTGGTAGCTTTGAAAATCATTCATTGAACGCAAAGAACATGTGAGTTCCAAAAATATACCACTCAATACATAGCCTGTTCTAAAGACCACAGTAGTAAAACATTTCTCTCTTGGCATGACTTACCCAAAAGGTCCCACAGCTGTAATTGATGCCTAAGGTGCTACCACTACAATATGTATTGAGTTTTTTATTTTTCTTGGCGCTTTTTGCTAACTTTTAACTTCTGGAGTACTTCTGCTTTAACAAATATGTGTAATATACAGTAAATGATTAATCTCTAGAAAGGATCTACATGAATGCAGGAAATATTTGAGTGGGACAGGTGTTTTGGGGACGACACAGATCAGTACTATAAAATGTACAGTATGGCTTTTGGGAGGAGTATTGTTACCTGTCCACCCAGCAAGGCAGCGGCAGTATCCTGTGACTGGATGGCAACCATCAGCATGACTGCAGTCACAGTGCTCATTGCAGTCCATCCCATAGGTCCCGTCCTTGATTAGAGCAAAAAAAATTCAACACACCTCATCAAGATGATCGGACAAAGAAGATCCATAATCTATCCTTAGATCAACTGGCTTTTCTAACCCAATGAGCTAGATGGGTTAAATGGTGGGTTAAATGGTCTCCTCTCATTTGCAATCTTCTTACATTCACAAAAACAGCAGCAAACACCTTATTTTTTTATTTCTTTGGTTAGTGTGTCCATCAAATATAAACGTTTTTTTGAAACTTTTAATTGTTGCAACTCAATAAAATACACAAAATGGCTGTCTCTTTAACAAACACAAGATGTTAACTCCAGTTTACTCCACAGTTTATTATTTTGCTTTGACTTTAACTGTTAAGTGACACAGAAAAATATTGAGCAAGTGCAGTAATTGAGTGTCACTCCTAAACAGTTTACAGAACTTCACACACTGCTAAACACTGACAAGTAGATCTTATTTTACGTCATTTTTCCAGGAGGAAGATCAAACAGAGTAGCTCTCTTTTACATTGTGGCATTATTGTTAACTACATATACTGTACAATTGCTAGTATTAGAAGAACACATACTGTACAGGTATACATAAACTAAGACATGCAGTTAGCAGTAATTTCAAATAGCAGAAAAATAAGCAAAACACAGGCTATTCATTTTAATAACTACTGCAACGATATCTAACCTCTTTTCCTCCATATCTATCACTATACCATAAATTGTTTAAAGCATTATTTTAAAACCAGGCATGAGTTTGCTCTAGATTTTTTTTCTTTTTAACAAAACATTTGCAGGAGATTTTGTGGAAAAAAGGAAATCACCACAAAGGGCCTTTGTACATCAATAATAGGAAGTGAAAACTGAAAGAAGATGTTTTTTTGAGTGGTACTTAACCAAAACTGAATATCAAAGCCATATTAGCTGTCACTAATCCAAGTTCAGTCTACACCAACTAAGATTAAATGTAGGGAAATGTACTTTACAGTTTAACAAAAAGTAGTTTCTATGACACATGTTCATAACATAACAAACTCCTCTTAAAGGCACTCCGGCCCTTTCGTATTTTAGTTGATTATGTGCACCTGCCTCCTGTTTGTCCCTCCTTATTTAAGCCAGGTGCTTTCGCTATTTCTGGCTCAGCATTGGAAGAAGGACGCCCGGAGGCCAGACTACCATCTAGTTGCCCTACTGGACGTCCGCGGCTTGAAGGCATAGGACTCCTAAAGGCATCCTGACCAAGCTGAGTCTGGGGCTCTGAGAGCCTGGCCTCATCACTCTGTTTTTAATCTCTTCGTTCCAAGTCCCTGTCCCTGTTTTTTAATCGTCTTCTCTTGGATGGATTTCCTGGTTTTGGACTTTGGGCTGCGCCCCGGATCCCCCCTTTTGGGCTGTCTGGACCTGTTTGCCATCGCCATGCCCCCCAAGCACCAGATCACCATAGTCACGCCCCCCTGTCTGTCAACCCATCCTGATCCTCTTCGTCTTCTCCCCGGATGTCTTTCTCCACTTACTTCCGAGTTGTACCATCTGTATAGGGTCCTGAACTACGCTTCGCGGGAGCCTGGCCTGGCTCCTGTTACATGGTCAATAAGCAAAACTAACAAACCATATAGAATTATTATAATGCACATCTAGAATAGATAAAGGGACCTATCTATTTTTTCTCCTGTGACATAAATGTGATACTGTATGTACAGTATGTCACTAGGACACATTTAGATTCAGCTTGTTTATTGTGCCTTCAAAATGACCGTACTCTTGCTGTCTGATCTTTACTTTTATTTTTGCTTTGTACTGTATACTAATTCAGTATTTTAAACTAATGGTTCTAAAAGTCCGATTTACTTAGTAAATAGGACCCATTAAGTAGTATTAAAATGTCAGCATTTATTGTAAAAATTAGTCAATAAATAATGTTAATTAAGCATTTTTATTCTATGTCCTGCTATGTCTTAGCAGTCCCCTTACCTGGCACTGAAATTCACACTTCTGTCCTCTCCATCCAGGTGCACAGGTACACTTGCCACTAAGGGCATTGCAGGCTCCCCCATTGGCACACATGCAGGTCACATTGCAGCCCAACCCCCAGGTGCCACTCGGGCAATTTATTGAGCAATCAACGCCATGCCAGCCTGCAGGCACAAGTTAAACATCAATCTGAAACATTCCATACACTGCCTGGAAGAGGAACTATTTGTTTGATTAGATGTTAATTTTATTTCAATTAATTTTTTTTCCAGACGCTACTTTTAGAGTTTATTGTAAGACAAACATTTTGTTCAAACATGGACATTTTTTAATTATGGGTTGTATTTGCATCAATTAGATGCTCCTTGATGGACTCTTCTGGTAGAGTGGCAGTTATTACGGAACCTGTCAGTTGAATCCAGCAAGCAACCTCTAAATAGGCACACTGGGTGATTACTGTATAATGTAGGTGTTTGTGCACATTCTCACAGGGGTTTAATTAGTTTTGTTTGGTATATATGAGATATGCACAATGCTAATTATAGTTTTCAAAGTTTACAGATTTTCAAAGTTTACAACACAATGTAAAAAAAGCCCGCAATGAGGCCACTTTTATATTTTGACTTTTCATTGGGAAGTTTGTGTGTGCATAGATACATGTACAGTACCTGGGAAAACCCTTGGAAAGAGCAGGGTCTGTTACAATCATTTAGAAACCTTTTTATAAATAAAATGTACTAATATACTGACACAAATGTAATAGCCACTGTCTACTGTGCATCAGTGTAGTCACTGGTTTGCATGCTCGGCTCAGTGTGTGCATTTCATAATTTCAGATATTTTCAATTAGATCTAAAGCACTGTGCAAAAAAATTTCACTAAGTTCAGTAACAATATGAGTATGTGATCAGCATTAGCAATTTACTCTGAACTGCCAAGACTATTATACCAACCAAAGAAAGAAACCAAGCCTGTTATTTGGCAATCTTAAACATTGCTAAAAAGTTTTAAATACCTGATCACACCAACGCAAGATAAAACATACATAAGCAGCCAACATGAGGTGCTGTAATAGCTAATCCACCACATTTCCGAATGAAATCTATTTGACTCTTTTAGGTTCTCTTCATTATTAACTTCAGTGTAAACGGAACATACTCCCCATGAAGTATTCTCTTCAGGGCTGCTAAACTAATACAAGATTAATTCAGTTTTACTTTTACTTGTTTTCCTGTCAAGTGGCTAAACCGTACATACCTGCTTTACATGAGCATGATCCATCCACTGGGGAGCACAATGCATCATTCTTACAGTTACATGTGGACGAGCAGTTCACTCCATGAGTTCCCTCAGGACAGGGTGTTGAGCAGTGTGGACCCTGAAAACAAACTTTATGTCATACGGTGGACATTTGGTGTGATTGCAGATAACAAATTATGTTCTCTTTCTGTTATTATTCAGTTTACTAAATAGGTCATATAAAAATCTATTGTACAGATGAAGCCATTCAAAATGGGTGGGGTATTTCGCGGCATACACCGGTGGGCGTGGCGCGGTATCACGCAGTATCACGGGGTTAATCGCGCCATTTGACGTCATACTGGAAAGTATCCGGCATCACCTTGTAAAACCGCCAGGGGGAGCTTAACCTCTCATGTACAGCATTTGAGCTTTTAAATTTGAACTGTGTATTACAGCATGTTTTTATTTTTTAAAACCATTTTTTATTAACAAAATTATGAAGAATAATATTTGGAGATTATAATATGGAGAAATATAAGAATAATGACAAAGAAGAGAATGCCTTTTGACCCATTTAGCCCATTTGGTAGTAGCTTATTGATCCAAAGATCTCATTCAGTTATTTCTTGAATGAATGCAGGATATCAACTTCAAGAACATGGCTGGGTAGGTTCCTTACTCCCACAGCTCTGTTCTCAATTTTAAACACACTCCTACATGCAATAATTGATAATCAGTGACTGACTGTGTTATAGTCAAGTGAATTTCACTGTTGAGTAAACGCTAAATCATCACACTAGTGAAAGATTAGACCGAACAAAGCTGATAGTCTTTAAACAAGTTGAATATCAAGTCTCTTAAAAATCAGGGATGAATAAAACAGAAAAAAAAATATTGCTAGTTTATCATGAGAACAGTGCCTTTGTGTCATTTGGAGTGTTGAGACCTAGCAATTTCTAAACTGTCAAAAAGTTTCAGTTACATATATTCAATGATATGCAGTACCATGATCTTTGAAACCATGAGTTGCAGCATCCTGCCAAAACAAAAAACCTAACAACATGGAACTTGCTCCATCTTTGTTATTGTTTTCACACTGTTTCACTAATCAGAAACACCAGATCATAATAACGCACACATCAGCAGTTCATCTCTGAGGAGGAGGCTACACAGTTGTTGTTTATAAGACAGATGACCACACAGTGGCCCCATGCTCAATGATCATACACACAACACCTCACATAGATTCACTGGTTGTGCAGCTGTGTAAGTCCACTTTAGTGTAGATCACCCTGATGGATGTTGCCAAGTGTGGTACAGACATGCAAAATGATACACTTATTGTTGGGTTGTGTAGGTCAAGCAATGGGAGGTCCAACTGTGATGGTCAGGGACGCAGTGTCTAATCTCTACGTGAACTAATTTTGTAGAGATTAATGGTAGCCTGGCTGTACAGCAGCACAATAATCCAGCCCTGGGTCCTCAACAGCTTACTTTCATCCATCACATTATCATGTTAACATTCCAGTAGGACAACACACATCCTCATGCTGTTTGTTTAACAACAATGTTTTTGTAAGACTAAAGTATGACATTTATACAATGAATATTCTAATTGTGAAACTCAAGCTCCCAGCTAGAATTTTGCCATCTGGCATACACACAAAACAAACACAACTTTTCACACAGTGTAGGTTGCATTGCTTCTTATTGTGTTCACACATACTACTTTCACAAAAGACAACCTGATGATTAAAAAAACATTCATAATCATGATTAATTTACCTATGTCATGTACAGTATATTTCAAAAAATGTACAATACTACAATTTGTTTTTTCAAGATTACTCTTTGAGGTTGTTGCATTTGTAAGGGCCAAGTTTCTTTGAGGTTCAGTATATAATCTGTAATAAATTAATGTAATGTAATAATGTATTATAATAATTTAGTGTCCTATTACTGTATATACAGGCAGGAATTATAATTGCGTTAGAATTGTATGACAGGAATATTGGAATATTATATATAGAAGAATTACTGATCAAACATTCACTTAGGGCAAAGCAGTTCTTAAAGTATCTTTAGATCTACAGTATATTTGTATGTAAACATTGTACTTTGCATAATATTAATATGAATATAATATTATTCAAATGTGAATAAGAAAATGAAAAAAAAACTCTTCTGTTTAAGCATTTCACTCAGCCCGATTATACACACTACCTTGAATCCAGGGGCACAAATGCATTGGCCAGTCACACTGTGGCAATCGGCTCCATTCTGGCACTTGCAGATTTGTTGACAGGACTCCCCGTAAAATCCAGGAGCACATGTCTCGTTGCAGTAGAGCCCAGACCAGCCAGGCTTGCAGGAACACTCTCCAGACATGGGGTGACAGCTGGTGGGTGAGGATAAAGGCTCTTAATATCTGCGACTACAAAGACAGTTGTGGTCTAATGATCACAAATCATCATAACAGGCAACATTACTGTCACAGTGAAATGTGATAGCCAAGTCAGATAATTAGGTCCACAGATTCTTATGCTGTATTGTTTAAAATTACTTGGCATTCCATAGAGAACACTGATGGAATTTAATAAACACACCACACACATAAAACATGTGAAATATAAATGCTTCATCTCCATAGTAATTAAATTGCTTTTACACAATGGTACACATATCCACATTTAATAGCTTAGTGATAATTTACAAGACTAATGCAGACTGAGCCTTTTGAGAAATCACAGTCAAAATTATTTCTTATACATCTTGAGATTATTTTTCCTGGTGGAACTGTATGATAACTTATTAAACAAATTAAGTACTTGAAATATAGTAAATGTTTGGGCAAAAACATATCTCTAATCTTTCCCTGATGCATCCATACTGGTGCTATGGAGCACACTCCATCAACTTCCTGTAAAAATCAGTTCTACTGAAAGGCTTCAAAGGGAAAGTTGCTTATTAAAGCAGTCTTCTTACTCCTGAGATAATTCAGATTTTCATTAAGTGTTCAGAAAAGTAGAGTTTGAATCTCCACTTGCCTATAATGTTTCTTGAAAGAAAAGATAAATTGGTTTCTAAATAAAGCCAATACAAAAAAAAGCCAATCCTAATTGTTATTGACACCTACATTAATGTATATTCAGTTAAATAATGTTTTTTTTTCTAAGTTGGCAAAATTGTATAGACAGCTTGGATTGTCAATTTAAGTTCCACAAATTCAATTTGCTAGTTCCTTAAATGTTCCAAAAATTTGTTGCAGCAACCTTTACTCTGTACACTTAACTGAATCCTGGGCCTTTTCACAAATTGTACCTGGCTAATTCAAGATTCTGATCAGTACTGATTTTCATAGGCCCAGCTATACAGTATTCAAACATTATATTATACAAGATGTATATTCACACCAGTCTTTAACATGTGCTGTCTTTGTCATATGAATATGTACAGTACATATGCTGTATATAAGGGATGGCAGAATCTTGAAATTATTTTATAAGTCAATGTAGTGTAGCATTGAAGCAGAAGGTTTAAAGGTGAATTTGTTAAATGTCAGTTATTCGCCTAACTTCTCTTGTTAATGTCCAACACACCTGAAAAAGGTTCACATGCCAAAATATTGTTTTTGTTTCTTTGTATCTTCAGTGATGAATTCTCCTCTACTTGTTCCTCTGCAGCTCGCATGCTGACACCACTCCTCATCAGAACTACATGTTGAATTTACCAAACCATTTGATCAGGACTTCATTTTTATATTTCCCAAACATTTGTTTTAAAAAATCATTTTCAAATATTTCCTAAGAGACTTCAGTTATTTGAATGGTGGAAAGTAACTATTCTACACCACTGATGTATCTATTGAAGACATATTTATTATCACATTGACTATGCTTTCTGTGAAGTGCATGAGAAATTATTTCATAGTTAGCATGCAGTTTCATTTACATGACATTTAGTACTTAAATGATGGGCAGTCCCTACGTATATTAAGGGTAGTTAGGCACGTACTGTTTTTGTAAATTCATACACAAGCCAACGTGTTTCACTAGTAAGCCATTTATTAGCCTTATGTTAGTCAAATACTGGCCTTTAACAAGTTATGTTTTAGTAATAATAGCCTAAAACAATCTCTGAAATAAAGTGTTCTAAAAAAAATTATATTTACATTTTAGGTGACAGTATTCATGTGCAAATATCATGTGTTACTTTTTAGCTGTTAAAAATGTTCTCTACACTTGAACACTGTGTTGTGCACAATTCATAAGACACAATCATGTTACATTACGACCATAAACAATTTACTCAACATTTTCACAGGAACCCTTTATTTGAATAAGGCTAAAAATGCATACATGTAATGTAATTTGCACAAATGGTTATAAAGGATTTTGCATGTTGTTACATTGTATTGTGTAGTGTTTAAGGATTTATGATGGTGTTTTTTAGCTTCATTTAAGTAATGTGTTAGCTCTTCCATTAGTGTTTTCAGCTCTTCTTAAAGACATTAGTTGGTGTTATTAATGTTAATGTTAATTAAAAGGACACTTTGTTTTAGTTCAAAAGGAAGTAACATACAATCTCCCAAATCAAGCATCTTGTGAATGTTTCCCTCTGTATTTTGAAATATCTTACGTATTTAGACTGTATCATGGACAAAAACATGTTTTAAAATTTGCAGTCACATTGCAGTCAATGCTCCTGTATTGTAAAGAATGGCAAATGTGTTGCAAAGGATCATTTCTTACTGTATATTCATGCATCCCTAACTCTATGTACTTATTTAAAAAAATGATGATACATTAATTAAGTACAACAGCAAGCACTTTGACTTCAGTGTTGTCACTAAAAACACATGCTTAAGCTTTTTGTTTTTACAATTTTACATGTATTTTAGTCTTTCTAAGGGTTTTCTAAGCTCCAGATAAAAAGGTAATCAGAACGGCAGCCTGAAAGAATTTTATTGACTCCCCAACAATTGCAGGCGCCAGTACCTGGTAGGAGACCAGCTGTCCCTACCTGAAACAGCAGCTCCATTGAAAAAGCTCCGAGGCAGCTGTTACGACGCTTAACAAATGGTCATCATCAGCTGTGTCTGAAAATCTGTGTTTCAAGGGCAGGCACAATACAGCTCTTGTGGTTTCCTGGCCCTTGGTGGGATTGACTGTCCACAGTCGCAATCAGGCTAAAAGTCCTTCCAGTGTCTGACCACAGGCAGCTTGTGTGGAAGCACAAGAAACTCACACCTGCTTTCCTGAGGACTTTTGACCTCTACATCTTTTGAAGAATTATTCTAGCTCATGAGATAGTAATAGATTTTCCAGATTTGCTTTGAACAGGAAGTGGCTTGTCTGGTGTGATTGTCTTTGCACTACTGGGGAAGTCACTTAGGTCAACCAAAGCCTGAAAGTGAAGCCTTCCAAATACTTAAATTCCCTCCTGCACAAATGTCAACTGAGATAAAATAAGAGGGAATACAAGATTATTAAATTAAAGTATTCAAAAGATGATGATACTATATTGCACAGTTACTTAGGATTTAATTCGCACCATAGAAATATTACTGTTTTTATGGCCAGAGACAAAGATGGAAATGAAAAGCTAAGAAATATATTAAGAGAATCTATAATATTTTCATCAATGATGAATGCATTTAGAGGTTAATTACCTTTTCACAGTAAAACCTTGTATTTAAATAGATTAAATATTAATATGAATTGGGTTTGACATTGAAAGTTTCGTTTTTTTTTCTTCTGTTAAGGTATTTTGTGTAATCACGTGGTTGCAGCCAATTGAAGCAGAACAATCCCAAAAGAAGGAAAACACTTTTGAAGACTTCAGTAGATTTAAAAAAAATCTAATAACAAGAGCACTTGTTATTAGTTATCCCTGTTTGTTATGTTCTTTTAAACCCAAAGTGTTAATCAGATCCAAGAGAATCAGGTGACCAATAAGATGTAAAATGTAATGCACAAGGCATTTCTCTGCTCAGGGCTTTAAATGTTGCTCTCGTGTACGGAACTGCTCATGTTGGCTTCTGGTTGACCTTACTAATCCTTAGCTTATTTGACTAGTTATACCTACCGGAACATTGTGACACATACTGTAAATACCACTGAGACATGATCCTAGCTTAATCCCAGCACCAGGGTAAGAAGTTGAAAACCATTATCTTAAGCTGTCTGTCAACCATTATCTTAAACTGTACAATCAATATATTTGACTGTGAAAAGGCATCAGATGTTAACTACATACAAAACGTATTGTTCAGTAAACAATAACTATGTACAATAACAAAATGACCACCACCTAAGTTTAACTACTTATAAAAATAAATCACTGATATCAATGTTCATTATTTAGTTTTCTTATAAAGGCAATATAACAAGTACAGTACAATAATATGGAATGAAACAGGGAAAGTAAAGCCAGCTGAAGAAACTAAGGTTCATTCTATATATCACTAAGCATTCTACTGACTCCTTATGATCCCAGTTTACAAATAACAGGACATTGTGTTAATTTAATATAAATGAAGGCAATTAATTATACTTTGAAAAGAAAAACAAAAAGCTAGATTTTGTTTTATTTCTGAATCATATTTAAAAGGCTCTGCAAAAGGCACTTTAGAATCAGAAAAAAATCAAACCCCCGAACCTGTTTTATTTTGCAAATCAAAACATGATTTTATTTTGACCAAACATATTTTAAAAAATGCTACTCCATTCCTCCACTTCTCCATGGAAATCACAGAAAAACCTTTGTTATAAATCATGTCAACCAGCAGCAAAAAGAAACTTGTGCATTCAGAAAACAAATATACACGTAAAACACTAAACCCTTATCAGGAATCTCAATTATGCACAAAACAAGAAAATGTGTACTATAAATATAAGTAGCTGAAAGCTAATTTGGTTGATATAAAAGGTGAATTACATACATATCCAAAATATTTTAACAAGGTGCAATAAAACAAATATTTATTCCTTTAAACTTGCATCATTTCTTCTAAAAACCTACTTTTACTAGGTCCAACACATAAACTTGCGGCAGGACACAACAGTACAAACATTCTCTGTTTTCAATTATTTGAAGACTCTTTTAAGCACAGGTGAAAGGTTATTCAGTTCATATTGTTGAGTAAACATTGCTTCTAGATACACTGTCCCGAGAAGCAATACCACTATACAGTATATCCAATCATAATTGTATTGTAGCAACATCACCTGATGGAAGGTTATCTTATGTTGAATATTATTCTCTCATCTGCACTTAAGAAAAAAGTCAAAATGGTGGAAATCTGTATTAATTTGTCCCGCTTAAGATTCCCTGTGGATCAAAAGCTTGACTCCAGTTTTCCCTGAAACTAGCACCTGTGATGACTCAAAAATATTAAATATTATGTTATGAACACAAAGATCATCTGCCACATAGAATCCCTTATCTGTCATTTGCTATATTGCAGTATAAAGCCAGAATAATAGACTATATCTAGACAGATAATAATTTCATCTTGTCAAATAAACTAATACTCCTCAGGAATCAAATGCAAAATGTGGAATGTACGGGTCCATTTGACAAAATAAAGTCAAGACAATATATTTTAGGGGATTAGCTATATTTCTAACTCTAAGACATTCCCTGAAATATGCCAATAAATATATGAGTTGAATTCCCCACTTGTAGATGGAGACAGAGAAACAGGGAATTTAAAACTAAGTTAGCTTGTACAGTATATGCCATCTGATAGATCAGGATGTTTGCAGCCAAAAAATAGCTGTTTTTGTCAATAACAGAAGCTGGTCTGACGCCTGACTAAGGTTCATAACTAACGACCAACTCTGCCAGTGTCAGTATGCTTTGCAAGCTGCTAAAGATGTTATTCTCATCAATGGCATTGTTGTTGCTGCAGATTTCCATTATTCCCCCACTTCCAATACAGCAGCTGTCTAACATCAAACACAGCATTGCTCCAGAACACAACCACTATTAGCTAGTTTAATTTTGATCTAACCTTCACTGTTTGATGAGTAGAGTGCAGGAAATGAGTACAGTGCATTAGCTTATTTTAGGAAATGTGTAAACATTAGGTACTATCCTGTAACACACATGGGCATTTATTACAAAAAGTTAAAATGTAATAAAAAATTAAAAGCAAATTCTTCAAGATACGAGAAAAGAAGAATCTCGACAATGCGTTCCGAGAGCCCAGCTTGCAAGAGTGGAAATCTGTTCTTTAAATGTTTAAATGATTAAATAAAAGAAAAACAGCATACATTACTACATCTCATATAATCAAAAACCTGTGTAGAGGTCACTCATAAAGCAAGGGATTGCTGTACTTATTTAACTGTAATTGGGAGTAGCAGCAAAAGTATTTGCAGATCCAAGATAGGGCATGACATAAAAGCAACGTAAATTTAAGCAACATGGAGCGATCCATTGCTGCATCAGTGCAAGGAAATTCTAGAGAGCCCCCTTGCTTGAGCAGGGGCAAAGACAGACTACAAAAAAACAGCAAAAGCCTTACCTGTGAGTGTTGCGAGGGTGGCAGGGACACTTTTTGTCACACTTGATGCCATACACCCCCTCAGGACACAAACGGATCTCACAGTGATCTCCTGTGTACCCAGGCTCACACAGGCAGGCACCGCTGATGTGGTAGCACTTTGCTCCATTCACACACCGGCACATCTGGGCACAGCTCATTCCATATGTTCCAACTGGACATTCATCTTGACACCTTGAGCAAACAATATATTTCAGCGCAGCTCAGTTCAGAATTCATACATTTCCTACTCAGTAGTATAGGCATTGCCTGAGGGACTCTAACAATGGGACTTATAAAATAAATTTATTTTTATGCAGTAAACAGACAGGTCAAACCTGTTACTAAAAAAGGCCAACAATTGGTAGAATTACATTCTCAAAGAGGTGCGGGTCATTAAAGCGGCAAACCTTTGTTGCTGTTACTGTATACTGCACTCAAATACAAAGATAATTTATTACAGCTCTTCCACGATCAACCCCAATACAAGAAGCAAATCTCACTGCACCTAAATCATTACATGCAATGTGCAGTGTCATTGTAAATCTGAATTTCTTCTGAAATCATTTCTCTGGAAAAATAAAGGCGTAAACAAAAATAAAATAAACGAAACTGAAAAAAAAATGTCTCCAACACAAATGTGCTTCATGGAGTTTCAATGTGCTTGTATGGAGTACACTGTATAAGCTTTATTATCCAATCTCAGTAAAAACTCATATTCACCAATGTATTCAATATTATGTGCTCATAAAGAATACATTTAACCTTCAGCAAAACATACAGTATATCATGTACACCATACATCATACTGCTTAATCATTATGACAGTTTTTGTCTTATCATAAATTTAATTATACCATGAAAAATTCAGCACAGTAAAAATAAAACACTTTTTAACTATTTAAACAATTTAACGATATAATATCCCTTGCAATCAAATAACAATAGTTACAACTAGTTAACCTCAGGTTACTAAAAGGAATATAGCATTCTATACACAAAGCTTATGAAACTTATTTAGGATCTCTGAAAATGGTATTTGCTAACTTTGTAACACATTTTATGAAATTCATTATCTCACCAACAGTGTAGACATCTATATATTTAACCTTACAAAAACTAATTTTAGTAGCTAAACTATTAACTAATTCTTCCTTATTATTCTAAAGTATCTGTGTCAGTATTGTGAATGTTTATACAAGTTTTCTGTACTGAGTGATTTTCATCTCTAGTCCTGTCTGGTGGTACCCACAACTGGTCTGTATGCCGAACATTTAATCACAGTATGTGGCTAAGTAAACTGAGAATGTGATGAACTGAGGCATTAAAATTTTGGTTAAAGGATGAACAAAAATATCACATCAACTTCTTCTTTGAAAGAAAGCATGTTAATTTAACATGGGTTGTTAAATTAACAGAAAGTAAAATGTGTCCACACTGACTATACCTGATGGGTAGATTTCTTACTTTCTTAATCCAATGTGGTTTTAGAATTTAATTGGAGTATTTCTTATTTTAGAATTATGTTATAATTTTGGTTATTCTACAAATGTTGTGAAATATCACTGTGATGATAGAGCTTTCAATTGCTCACTATTACAAAGAAACTGTATATTTCACATGACAATGGTTATTTAGATTGTTGGCTATTATCAAATTAGATCAGCAAGGTGCAGCAATGAAATTGTGCAATTTGTGTTTTTACCAGCTTTCGTTTAATTCTATATTTGCTTTCTTGCACTTCAGTAGAATGATTCATGTAAATTTTTAAATCTAGAACTTATACAAAATAGCAGATACAGTATGTGAAATCTAAGGAGAAGTGTTTTCAAAACTGACAACAGGGTCACACAAGGTTATGGGAGTTTGGAATAAGCGATCCAGTTATTTTGTTAAAGCAAATGTAAATAAACAGCCTAATGAAACCCACATATCAATTAGCTACTTGCAACGAAGCTTGATGTCCTCAATAGCCTCATCTCTTTTGCAGATAATCTTGCATTTACAGTACGTTCTTATGTCTATTTGAAAACACACCGACAATAACAAAAAAATCAGTGCCACCGTATAGACTTTCAAATGAAAAAAAAATCAATTTCCTGGAATATCATGGCCTAAGCTTTTACTTCAAAATTTTATTTGGACAACTAGCAAAGATTCCACCAGCAGCTGGATTAAATTAGAATTACTAAAACCAATGTATTGTGTATCAAAGTGGGTAACAAAAGGTTAAAACTCAATTACAAAATTAGGTCATATATTTTCAATGATCATCCTATAATTAAAAAAATAAAACTAAAGTAAGAGGTTTATTTATGAATTTATTACTCTTGAATCTCTGAAGGTTTATCCTTGGCCACCCCTGTTACTCTGATCAGATAATGCCCAGTTTTCTCTTGTGAAGGATTTTCACTGATTTGTGCTCTTTGGAGATTGAATTACAGCCACAATGCTTAATCACTTAGGAATGTTTGCAGTTATACAGAATGAGATGCTGTTTTTTTTTCTCTCATTGACTCTTAAATTCTATAATTTTTATCAGTCTCAAGATAAGAAGAGAAAAATGTATCCCTTGTGCACAGACTAAAACATATAGTAAAAGTAAGGCTTTTGCAGGAATACTTCTAAAACACTTCCATATACTGTATGTACAAAGTATAATAACATAACATAAAACAATGGATGCTTGTGCAGTAGGGAATCACAAAAGAAAAACACACTTTGGAATCTTTAGCCCATCACAATGAAATATTGTATTATTCAGAAATCAAAGTGTGTGAAATATTTAAAAAAGTGTAATAAAGGGTAACTGTCAGTGCCTTGCTCCAGAAACACTGCTTATTACACCATATATTGTACTGTTTGTAATGTCACCTGTACTCCATTTAATATAACTATAAACAAAAACAAATATCAAGTCATACGGTGCTTGTGCAAAGTCACTGTTATCCCAAGATCACAGACACATCACATAAAACTAAACTTTTGTAAAAAAACAGGATTAGGCAACAGACAAATATTTTAGGACACATTTTAAGGAAATTTTCAACATATTTGGTTTTTTGTGTTTTTTCCTTTACCTCACCCACAGCACCCCCTTTTCATAACCAAAGTCATTGCACGGGGGATTTCTAAAATGAGATCATGTAGGTTATATGTGGAAAACAGGATATGGATAATCTGAAATGCTTGGTTGTTACATATTTGGGGGTGAGGTCTGGCAAGAGAGAGACAAAATAGAAAAATGGCAAATTGTTATTTTAAAATATTACCCTACCTTGCGATGACAAACAATAATTCTACAGATTTTAAGAGCTGTCATTTAAAAGTCACCGAAATGTACTTTAAAAAAAATACTTAAATCTGGATGACGACTAGATGTGTATATAGTGTATGAATATACTGACCATGCTGATAACAGTTACAAAACTACCAGCATGTATTACCAGAATATCAGTAGTCTGCTGCTATTAGTAAGCCTCCTGAGTATGATTAATTTTCTACATAATACTGTATTTAAAAAATATATATTTTATACAATATTGGATAACTAAATACTTGAACAAACAGTATAAATATGTTAAATAAATAACTCCAAAAATCTAAAATAAAAAAAGAATAAATTCAATATTTTGTAAAAAAAACAGCCTAAGTCTTGTTACGCTGACAGTTTTATACAACACATTGTGCCAGACCTTAAAGCAAGCAATGAACACTGCCTGTCCACGTCTTTCTCTAATTTGCCAGAGTCAACTTTTCCAAATTTTTCCAATTTGAAATCTGTGTATGCCGGATTGAACGTGACTCTTTTGACACTCTTCATTCCCATAGGAGTGCATTCCTGGTGTTTAAAATTTCATCTGCTGCTACAGGCAAGGATGGTTAAAAAGAAGACACTCCTCTGCCTTAAAAATTAAAGCCAAATTCAAAGCAGCTGGAGAAGATAAAAAGAGGAGCATTTTTTCATGATGATAAATATACTGTATTATGCATCACAAGTTTAAAAGTAGTCAATCCTACATAAAGTGACCTTGGATTTTGGGTTACTTGGTTTGCGCTGTAATACACCTGCAGCGTTGTTCTGCTGAAACAGATATTAGTAACTGACTGTACATTACATTTAAAAAACAAGCAACTACCCTGTTTATGTCTGTCTCTATGAGGAAATGCATTCTTTTTATTTTATTACTGGCAGCTGCTGGTATGAATACAAACTGTACTCTTTATACTGTGTAACAACTGGGGTAATACATACCAGTATTCAAATACTGCTAATTGGGTGTAATTTATTTTTAAGTTATATTTTAAGCGGCTTTTACAAAATGGGTTTTGCGGTTCCTGAGTTTAAGAAATCATCGTAACACTTGAGTTCAATTTTAAATGTTGAACTTGTAAGACAAAATGTTAAATGCTTATACACAATTCAGTGCAATTTAACTTGTATTTAAACAAGTATTGTATTTATTGTATAATCTGTGTCGACAGCTTTCTCAAAAAATATTTTGACATATTTTGCTCTTAATGTCCACTCAATTTAAATTTTTGCCACACCTTACAATGGAAATCTTAAGCATGACATCATCTTCAATATCTGTTAATAATTTCCACCTTTGATTTTAAATTCGACCATGTGGTTGCTTATTCGTTATCTGGCTCATTGCCAGGTGTTATGTACTACTCTTAATGGTTCTAATGTCTTTCAGAATTTGAAAAACATGCAATACCTGCTCATAATTTGATGCATCACATTGTATCTGAACTGTGACAGCCACACAGGCTTTATACACCTCAAGAGGTGTATAAAAAACACTAAAAAGTTAAAATGATCATGTTTCAATGTAAAGAAGTCCATCCCTATTTCACTTTCATTACAGTAAGCGAGTGACATGATTCAAAGCATGTCATAAATCCATGGTCTTAAAAATACATAAGTGGTTTAATGAAAGCGCAAGTAAATTTAGGTTGTACATATGAGGTAACACTGATTAGCAGTTCACCACATTTAAATAGATTTAAAAACACAACATATTCCTTGATTAAAAAAAGCCTTTTTACCTTTCTAAAAAGCAATTCATGCTCAATACTATAGTAGCTGAGTTCTGATCATTTGCGTATCCACAAGGACACAACAGCACATCCTCTGGGAGGCAGCAGAAGGTGGCATTTTTAAGAACAGAGTGGGTCATCCAATGGAA